GAGAGAGAGAGAGAGCGCCGGGGGGGATAATTTTTTTTATAATAAACGCACAATAAATTTAAGCGAAATGCACTAATTGAAGCACATTGTTAATATAAATATGACAAAAAAATTCATATATTTGTGAAGTATAAAGCGATAGTACAGAGATAGTATTTATACGTGTGTTACATTTAATATATTAACAGTAAAGCATCCATGTTTAAAAAATTTATAAAGTCAATTTTATTTTCATATCCTTCACATTAAGAATGGATTTTGTAACTTAATTAAAGTTTAATAAGTGTTTTATATACAAATATTATTTTTAATAAATTTATACTCTCACTGTTTGTAAATAGTATTTTATAAATATTAAGTAAATGCAAATGCATTACTTCCATAAAATTTACGAATAATCTCCTCTATTATGTTTACATTTCTCTATGAACTGCATCATTTTTAATAACATCAAATTTTAAAAAGAACTTTATGACTTCTGACAAGGAAAGAATGGGCGATGGGTTTTGCGCGATTTGGGCTTAATTGGCAAGCAAATTTGCGATTAAAAATAGTTTTCATACGACCGATGATAAAGATGAACAAGAATGAACTTCTATTTTTCATCGCGACGGTACGTCGCTACCGTCAACGCGAAATTCTTAGCTGAGTATCCAAAAGCCTTAATACATATCAATTTAAAATTCGAAATAACAAATTGTGAATAGTATTGTTGTAAGTTATTTTTGTAAAAAAATGTATGGACAATTTTATGAGTATGAAGAGTTTTAGTCTAAATATTTAAGAAGTTATAATTATTTAAGAAATCAACTTAATATCTTCAAAATATTTTTGAAACAAACTAATAAAAATCTTTTTAAAACTTTAAACATCAAATAGAAAAGAGTAATTAAGAAAATATACATCTTCTTAAATACTAAAAACCTATAATTTTTTAAATATTTTTTTCACAAAATAATCTATAGAATAGGTATTCCTCTCATCCTAAATGCTATCAAAACTTTGTAAATCATTTTTTATTTCTTAACAATAAATCAAATATACCAGATAATCAACAATGAAATTTACAAATGTTTTAATTAATTCTAAAGGCGAGCATCGCAAGATAATGTAATTTCACGTGGTATATAGCTATCTTAAAAAAATTAAAATGACGAATCACACATACATATAACCCATATAATAACATGTATTTTTTTTACAATTTCTCATTATACTATATTTGTCCTATTAGGTACTAAATAAATAAAATTTTATACACATTTCTATTACAATAAGCGAGCATAATCATATTTTCTAGTTGTGCAATAATAGATTAATAAATAACGATAACTTTTATAAAGAAAATAAGACTTATCTTTCTTTATATTATTGCTTATTTTGCTTTATTTGGTTAGCTTTTCTAGATTTGGCTTCAATCCTATATTCCAGTTTGTGAATCAATTCATCTAATTCATCCTGATAAACAAAAATTAAAATATTAAAATATTAAATTAAAATATTTTTACATGGCTTGTTTGTACACATACTATTCTATATATAATTTTACAAATAATGAGTGACTAATTAATTTCAAGATGTTATACGTACCTCATCATATGTATACATCAGAGTACAATATTTCAAAACCTGCTTTTTATGATTGATTAAATGCAATGCATGCGGCAAACAATAAACGCTGTCGTCTTGCGAATTATTTACTAAAGAGACAAATAAATTAGCTCTACAAGTCTCACATTCAAAGTCGCCATCATCTTCTTTCACTTTTTTCCTCTTTTCCCTTTTCCATTATCTGGTAAAGGTAATCTTTTTTTATTGATGAGACCTATGTTTTCCAATTGTTTACGATAATCTAATTCCTTTTTACGAATCTTCATTACACTTGGCAATATCTGAAAAGTAATATCGTAGTGGTATCATGGTAAAAGAGAGCTAGTGATAATCTAATTAGTGCTAAATACTAAATAGTTTATATGTGACAATATGTGTCTTTTAACTTTTAATTTCTTTTAATCTAATAATTATAACATTATTATTATAACATTAATTATAACATTAATTATAACATTATAATTATAACATTATAAATTTATTTTTACCTGTTTCAATATATCTATGTGAGATCTTGTATCATTAATAATATTAAATAATAATTTTTCGAATGAAAAGATAGAAGGTTCGCAACTGTCTTGTATGTCCTGAAAGCATATTATATATCAATAACACCAAGTAATAATAAAATAAAATCATTAATTTAAAATTTGATTTAAAATTTTATGTATTCCGCATATACCTTAAATACTTGTTCAGCGGTTTCTAACCAGGATGATTGTGCAAAATATACACTCTCAGATACTACATAACCAGTACATATGCTCGACGTGAACGCTTTCGGAAATACTATTATAAACTGCCCAGGCTCTTGTACAATCTGGCATAATGGCACACCGTTGCTCACTAATAATTCTGGTGGAACCATAGCAGTGTCAGAAGGTAACCATATAGTTTTATTTTTACAATACTGTGGTACCATTTTCGAGAGCGCTTCCCGGAAATTGTTGTTATATTCATCGGGAATACCATACCAAATCTTTTTAGCTCCTGTATGTAGATATTCTATCCATGGTAGACCGTGTGGATCGCGATACCAACAACAAGCACTAAATAACATACCTACATGCAATGTCGGTACAGTGACACCTAAAAATTCAGAAGTTAATCACTTATATTAGAATATTATAAAATATACCTTTGTTAAGAATATAATATAAATATAATAATATAAAATATATCTTTGTTAAGAAAGAGGAATATAATCAAATAAGAAATCTTGAGTTATTATTTTTATTATTATTACTATTATTTATCTTATATAATATATATAATATATAATATATAACGATATATATAATATATAACTAATTATAACGTTCTAATTATGATTAAAAAAATTGCATACCCATTAGGGGACCCAAAGCTCTCAATACTGATCCAGCATTGTTAGTGAGAACTTTAAGATTCCAAGGATGTCTAGCAAATGGACTGTTTTTGGCAACGGAAAACCCAAACCCACGACCACTTGAATCGATACTCGCTGCATGTACGCAGACATGACGTTTTCTCTCGGCGACATGTTTCCAAAATGCACTCTCTACTTCATCGGCAGAAGCACCTTCAGCTTCGTTTCCTCGTTGATTTTCGCCAAACCACATACGTTGCGTGTTACGAGCGATTCGATAAAAAGCATTCAATGGCATATTTCTTCCCTTTGATATCATAAATGTATATATAATCTTATTAATATTTGAGCCATGATACTTTAGAAATTATTACTCTCTAAACATTATTTTTGTTAGAATAAGAAATTCATAGTTTTTTTAAATTATTTTAAAAACTTGCAACACTAATTGCCAGAAACATAAATTTTATTTATGTAATTAGTACGATTTTGAATACATTAAACAAAAGATAGAATTATGCTTAATTCTGATATCGCAAAAATATTCGGACACTTAACAAAATATAAATGTATATATTAACAAAATAATAATAATTTTAGTGCTTTGTTGCACAATTTTTTTTGTTTGATAACATGTTACATACGTTTGAGCATGTTAAAAATTATTTTTGTTAAATAATAATCTGATAATACGTTTTCCTTTAAGAGTCAACACAGTTGTTGGGGCATAATTATTGTAAAAACTTATTTATTTAAAAAAAGTAATTTCTTTATAAACATGAATCGAACATTTCGGCCCATCTTTGAGCCATTTTCAGCAGAATAAAATTAAATATAATCAACGTTGAAAAATATAGAACGGTATACAGACGTAAAAAAAAATTACTGTTTATGTGTTAACAAAATTGATAAAAGCTTCCCTTGAAAAAATGGATACACCCATGATGCTATTATTCAAAATTTTATAAGATTTAGATAAATATCAGATTTATATAAAATTAAAGAATAAGAAATTTGTGCAAATTAAATTTCCAAAATATATCAATCTTTTCTATATTATAATAAAATATATAATAAAATATATAATAAAATATATAATAAAATATATAATATATCTATATTATAATAAAAATTATAATAGACGAATGTGTATCATACTTTTACAATGCATTCCTCGATTTCATCAGAACTGTCCTCTTCCTCTTCATCATCATTATCATTGGACGGCATCTCTTGCCTTTGCAAAGTTTTGCTTTCTTTTCTCATCCATTCCATCTCAACTTCATCAAATAATTTTTCACGTTCCTCTAAATAAATTATTTACAATTTGCAGCACATCGATTTTTATTCTAGCATTATAAAATTTATTATATAAAATATACCTGTAGATAACGTATCGTATGGCAATAAATATTTACAATAAATATCATCTAGTTTAGTAATACGATCTTGTGCTGATTTTGGTATTTTCATGCCATCTGCTACTTTCTGCCATTTTTTCTTTTCAATAACTTCTTTTAACCCACCTAAACTTTGAACTGTTTGATACAAGTGAGGCAAATCAACTTCCATTCCACCAATCTAAAAAAATTAATGATCTTTATATTTTTTCAAATCTATTAAAAATAAATAACAAAGAATAATCGATATGTTTGGTTTTTAAAAAATAAACAATAAGTAATTTTACCCATGGAGGTTGAGTCAAAGTAATACTCTGAGTTGCTAAATATTTTTTGATAGCCATCATTTCTTTTACGTTAGGACCCCATCTATGGAGCATGCGATGTACATATTGATTGTAAGCAGTAAATCTCATATCATCAGATACCTTGCATTCTGGCTAAAAATTAAAAAAAAAGAAAGAATTTTATAATATACAGTCAAGATAATATATATTATTTATTATTTACTAAATAATACGTGATGTATATATTATCTAATACTCTTTTATGCAGTATTTACTTTGAAGTTTTGTGGCGGTACAACTTTACATATCCCAAATTTTTCAGCGATTGACTTTATTTTATCTATATACTCCAACGGATCCTGAAAATCTTTCTCTGTAGGATAGAATGTTGGCGCCTCGATCACGCGAATTTCATCATTCGCAGTTTTCCCATTTGGAAATATTGTATTATTGCTTAAAGAGTATAGCTCTGATCCCTTTTGTTTGTATTTTACTTGTGTTCTAGAAAATTGTAATGATAAACATTGTTTAACGAAATACAGAATTCTACTTGTTACTTGAAAAAAAAAGGGAAAAAAAAGGAACATTTAATAATACCTTTTTCCACTTTTTGTCGAATCTATAGAAGCTTTTCGTTCCCTCGATGACTTCGGTGACTTCAGTTTTTCTAAATTGTTCGCGCTCATACTAATATTTTGACGACTTAAACTTGATATTGAGACTTCGCTTTTTGCTGGTGATGTCGGTTGCGTTTCTGCATTCGACATATTTGCTGTCGTAGTTGACACAGTTGTGACTGTTGATGTCGATGGTATTTGCTGTTCCATCGTGATCGCCATAGGATTGGGCAGGGTACGGGTTGTCGGTTGTACCGTTCCTATCGGTGGACAACGTGCCACGGTTAACGGTGGCTTGGTAACCAATTTAGCCCGAAGGAGTACCCTTTGATTAGAACCATTCGGTCCTTCGGTGCCGAGTTTAACAGCCACACCCTGTATCAACTGTTGACCTTGTACCAGATTCGGACCGCTTCTTGTAACGGTCTGTAATGGAATGTAAAATAGCTGTCCGTCATTATCATCATCATTCTCATTACTCATTTCAGTCTGAGTGGATATCTCAGTACTTTTTTGTTGATTTACATCACTTTCTTGATCTTGCGTAGTCTTGTCAAGATTTACTTGCACTGCTATAGAAGCGCTGCAATTTACATTGCTCCAGCTCGTCGTAAGCTTGTCGAGAGGTAATACTTGAACACTGGTTAAACTTGCAAAATTTTTAGGTAGCTCAAATTTGTTCATGTTTGGAATCGTATTCGCTATGTTCATCGACTCCTGTGTCTCCTGTTCTTTATTCGTGGACGTAACAGAATTGTTCGATGACTTTTCCTTGCTGTCTGACATTTCAAAATCATTCTTAAAATTCGATTTATTTTCAACAATTGCTTTGGTTACTTTGGCTTCTTTGGACACTGCAGTTATCGTGGGCGTTATTGCAATCAAATGTTTAACATTGTCCTTACTTTTTCGTCTGAAGGGTGTACTAACAGGAACCTCGGTGTCACTTTCGAACGCATAAACGCTGCTTTCATTCTCTGGCGAAAACGCATTTGCATTCGTTACAGTCTTACGTTCTTTAACCTTAGGTAGAAAAGGCTTCCGCGGTTGAAATATTTTTTTCTCTGTCGGTGATTTTTTCTCTATAGAACTGTCTACTGAGTTTTGATCTGATTTGGACACAGTATCGCTAACATCATCAACTGGAAAAGTATCTTTACTTATCTTCTGAGTTTTATTCTTAATATTGATTGTAATATCTTTCATCTCGCTAATGATCTTATTTTTATTGGTAATTGTATTTTGCTGTTTTGCTTCAGTATTATACGTATCAGATGCTACTGGTGCTATATTTTTATTGTATATCCCTGTGCGATCTTTCGAATTCATCTTATCTGATAATTTTGAAAGTGTAACGTTGACTGGACGTACTAGATGCTGAATTTTCGTCGAAATAGACAAATGCGAGACATCTGCTTTCAACTTTTCCGTAGAATCGTATTTAAAATTAGAAACATTTTCCATTTCCAATTTACTCTCTTCTTTGGCAAGTGAACTTTCATTCAACCACTTTTCTATCTGTTCGGTAGACATGTTCACTCGTTCTTTTCTTATATGCAGAGTTGACAATGGCATATGGTTGGAAGAAACCTCGTTCTCGTGATTACATTTGTTTTTCATTGATAAAAAAAATGCATTTTGCGTTTCAATTGCAGACAAATCTAATATTGACTTTTGATCCTGCACAGATACACTGCATTCGTCGTTTAGCGAATTTGGAGAACCAGCTTTGACCGGTGACGTTTCAACTTTACTTTCCAATGAAACGATATTTTGATTCGTTGTTTGCGATAGGTCCAATGTTTTGGACAAATTCAACTTTTCATCAGATTCTGTAATTAATAGATTAACATTGGCATGTGTCTGATATGAATTCAAAACCTTCGATATTGCCTTCTTGGTAAACCCACGAAAAGATTCCTCATCGTCCGATACTTTTGATAGATCCGCTTTCATATTTTGCACGTTGTCACGAGTTGTCTTACTATTTTTTATATTGCTAACATTTGAGATATGCCTTTCCTCCTCCTCGGTTTCTTTCTTCTTTTTTATTTTAGTAAGTAGCATTCCCAATGTTTCCTCTTCGGATTCCGCCTTTTCATTTTGATCATTTTTAAGGCTTTTCTCATTTGATTCGTTAGTTTTCTCTGATAATGTTTTAGATACATTTTGCTCGCGTTTACGTTTCATCACAAATTTTTCTTTAGCTAATTTCGCACAACTTTGAACTTGAGTTCTTAATTTGCTATTTGTGTTATTTTGTATTTCTGTCGATACATTTATATTTTTTGGAGGATGATCTGAGACTCCTACTAATTGGTTTGTCAATTTTTCCAAGACTTTGTCTGGTAATGGGTCTTGTATTATTTGTTTCCATTGAACTCTCAGATTCTTCATCGCTATCCTCTTCACAATATCTCTGTATTCTCATTAAACGTTTACTCTTTAAAATCAATTTGTTATTTTTGCTTTTATCCAATCGTTTATTAGCGCTGTTAAAAGAGGTGACTTTAGAATCCCTAGTTTTAGTACTAGTAATAGTTTTAGTACTAGTCTGTTTTACTTTGGCTTTAAGCTCATTCTCCGTTTGCGCTATTCTACGAGCATTTGGCAGTTCAGGAAAACTTTCGACTGAAGCGTTATCGTCATTCTCTAAATCTGGGCTCACTAATTTTCTTCCCAGAATCTCCATATACACAGCAGCTGCTTCTTTCGTTTTTCTGGTGGGTCTTCTAGAAAGATTTTGCGAAGAGACTGTGCCACTGGACGATCTTGTAACTCTCTTCATTTCTGATTTACTTCTAGTACAAATCTTTTTTGGAATGCCTTTTTGTATGTTGCGTTTTATCTGCGATGTTGACTTCTCCACAGATAATTCTTTCTTTTCATCGTCTTGACCGTCATTGTCTTCTTCAGATGATACATCCGTATTTAATATATCACTACTTTTTAATTTTACTTTCTTTTTTGATTTAGGTAGTGCAACTTTCATTTTTGATAAGGGTTTCTTAGTTTTATCCAGCAGCACACCGCTTCTCAAACCATGTCTCTTTGTTGTAATTCTAGATAAGAATTTTTGCGGTGCCAACTGAAGACCACTCTTCAACACAGATCTCTCTGTACATGATCTTGTTCTCATAACGCATGTGGTTTTAAATTTATTTTTAATTCTTTGCTTAGCAAGACGTTGTTCCTGGTATTTCTTTTTAAGAGCTTGGACTGTAGACGTCGCTGTCTTAAGCTTGGTAATACTTTTGTGTAACGTACTGGGTATTTTTTTCTTATTCGAAACAATAGGTTTTACTTTTGTCATATGTTTCTGGCTATACATATTTTCTTGCTTTTGAATTTCTACAGAAGCAGAAAAGGTTTTCTCGATAGAAGTTCGAACAGGCTTAAATTCCTGTTTCTCTTTCTTGTTGCCAATATTAAAGAAATTTAAATTAGGCGGTAAAATAGATGTACCTAGATTTGGAAAAAAAGTATGTCATTTAAAAAAATCTAAATTATAATTAAGAATATTATAATCATATAAATAAATAAATAAATAAAAGTGTGTACATATAAACGAATGCGCGCACACAAACACGCACACATACAAGGTATCCCAGTTTAATTGAAAGAGTAAAATATCTTAAAATCAAAGCGATTTTAAAAGATGATTTAGACAAATTTTAAGCTTTCGAAGGAGTCGCATAATTATGATTAATTATTGATTTATTTGTAAATAAAGCTTAATGTATTATAAATATTTTTTATATCAATTGATTTGTCTCATTATTCTATTAAAAGTATTAAGATAAAGTTATAAAAAACGAATAATTCACGAGATATTTCATAGTTTATTCTGATATATCTCGTAAACTATTCATTTTCTGATAACCCGTTCTTAACTTTTAAGTATAAAATAATGAGACAAGTCAATTAGTAGAGAAGATACATAGAACTGGTAAAAATTCCATTAGAAATAGATAAACCGTATATTCTATCTGTTTCTGACTATGCGTTTCTTTCCCTACAATTACGAATAGAAACAGATGAAAAGTATTACAGTACCTATAGGACTGTGCAAAGATGGTAGATAAAACTAACTGCGTCTAACTGATTTCTAATCGAACGGAACTTATCTGAATCTATGCACAGATGTAATTACAAATCTTATCCGTTTCTATAGCAGCCAGTTTTAAATATTTATTTGCATTTAATTCTAGAACCAGACAGGATATCTATCTACATTTGTTCATAACGTGACTTATTTTCTCTATTCTTTTTTACTGCAATAACAAAAATGCGTTCTGTTTCTTACTGCAAATATCACACACACACACACACACACACACACACACACACACACACACACACACACACACACACACACACACACACACTATTACT